ATTATCGACGAACCAGCGGCGACCACAAAGATTTCGATCGTGAGGAAATTCGCTTCGAGATTCGTCAACCGAACAAATCAGCGGCGATGCCCCATGTCTTTCATAAGCCATTTGCCCTGTTCTGTTGCAATGCCCAAAATTTGCACAAAAAGTCATAGAATAGGGCACCAGTGCAAAATAACCGGCCCCGAGTAATGCGTCCGAACAGATTTAACGCACGTAAAGTTTGTTCGCTTCTTTCGAGTCAAAGTTTTTCATGCGAAAGTCACGAAGTATAAATAGGCTTAAGCACAACGCGTCAGGAAGGGCATTTGATTAATCGCTCGTTCTGTTCGAAGCTCACCAGCTCAACGTTGCTCCATTTAAAATTCGTAGGTTTTAGCTTTGCAGCCTCGGGGAGGTGGCATAGAAATCAATTAATCGTGACATTCATGTTAACAAACAAAACTTATTTGCAGGTGGCAAAAAAATATTTTTTTGTTATTGTACTCTATTCATATATAGGGTCAAATGGGAATGATAAGGGGAACTCTAAGCAGAACAGCATTGTTTTGATCTTCTTCCCTGATGCTTAGACCACAGATATAACGCAGAAATCATTTTGCCATGGTTGACATAAATGTAGATGGTTGCTTTTAATTTATTGTTAATGAGTGTCCGCTTCTCCTTTGAATTGCCTCGAGGGCAGGATGACAGAATGAAAGGAGGCTGGCTTCTAACTCCAGAGGTGCGGCGTTCGAATTCTCAAAAATAGAATGGTAAAAAATTTTCTTTTACCGTTAATTCACTCCGGTTTGATTCGTTTATCCAGCAGAGAAACAGGTAACAAGTCCTTGACTCGCCAACAACAGGAACAGCACGATTTCTTCGCGTGGTTATACCAGGCTGTGTGCACCAATGCCAGGATACGCGATGCCCGAGGATCAGTCAGGCTGTCTGATGCGAATGATTACTACCCCTGCAAATCACCATGGCTCACTTGATAAATGACTGTCCAGAGTGTGCTAATCAGTATTAAATGCAGATTTTGCTTTAGTACGCCTAAAGGGGATTCTGAACGAACAGATTCCACCGTATGGAAAGCGAACAATTTTAGGATTAGATCCTGACATCTATGAGAAATCCTCTGCTTTTGATGAACAATCCATTTTTTCCAACTCTGTACCCTTTCCACAAAGGAAATTCCAAAGAAATTCAGATATATAGAAAAATTATAATCTGGCAAAGGTAAAAACCTGCAAGATTCAAAAATAATTTTATTTGTTATTCAGGTGATTGTGCAGCTCCCATTGGCTGCAGCAAGATACGTTCAGCGTGATTATGCAACGAGTTCCCCTTCAACCAAAAAGTCAAATTTAAAAACACGATATGAAAGAGAACGGATATCCGTGAAAAGCTTTTTGTTTTGTCAGAAAGGATATGTTTGACTTCTGTTTATAATATTACGTAGGAGCTAGAACTGTTTCCTCACCGTAATTTCTGTGTAGTTGGACTCAAGTATGTTTCAAATTTTGCAATGCCTCATCGCGTTCGTCTTGAAGGTTGTTATTCCCACTTCAATGTCTTTATTTCAT